GAGGGAGGAACAGGAATCCGCAAAGAGTCGATGAGGGCAGTTCCATGCATGGACAAGCTCTGCTTGGATGTTTGCATGTTTTATTGGTTTTATTTTGTTTCATTTTTTATTGAGATATTTCCTTTTTTCCTGTAATGGGCTCAGTGTATGTTTTTCTTTCTTCCCTTCAGTAGGTTGCTTATTGAACTGTATATGTTAGCTTGTGGTTTGTTCCGTGTTTGCTTTAGGATGTCTTTTTATGCTGCTGGGAAAAGAGAAGGATGCTGCCTTTGGACTTTTCTAGGAGTAAGCTGGTTTTTTTCCTTTGAGTCAGTATACATCTGATCAGTGTAGAGCTCCGAGGGAAGGAAGGAATTTTATTTATATCCCTGGTTTGGTACTTTTTACGCCAAGACTGAACAATGAAATATTATACAGCAAAATATATATCTGAGTTACTTTTATCCAAAACATTTTTAAGTGGTATATGTGATAGAGGGTAACTGTTGATTCCTTTCAGTTTTAGCTTGTAAGTCATTATCTTTTGATTAGGGACAAAGTCCACAGGGAATCTGCAGTTTTGGTGACTACGGTTTCATAATAATTAATAAAAATGCATACCCCAGAGCTCCAACATGGCAGAAAGTGAGAATGCTTTCCCCACCCAACTATTATTTAGAAACATTTCCATCTCTTTTTGTCTTGTATTCAGAGTTGATTAGCTCCTGTTGGGGTTTTTTATTGGCCTAAGGGTAGAGGAAATTACTGTATAAAGTTTCTGATTAGCTAGTATGATAATGATTCATGGGATATTGCTAATTTTCTGTGTGTAATATTTAAGGACAGATAGGGACTTCTTGTGGGAACTAAAATCTCAGTACCCTTCCTTTTCTCTCCCACCTCCCTGTGTGCCAGAGATGCAATTACAAAGGTATTGGTATTCCACATAATATATTGGTTCCTCTTGGGCTCTAGTCTTGGCAAAGCTTTGCATTTAGTACTTTGACTGTAATTTAATCAAAGTGATTAGTTAAAGGGACTTCCAAACAAAGCAAACAGCAACTGTATTCACCAATTCTTAACTGATAGCGAGGGTGTTAATGTATAGCCCTGAGGTGGATAAAGATGGGCTGATTTGCAAGCGCAACAAGTCTTGACAAAGAGCTGGTACACATTTAGCAAACAACAGCAGATCCTGAAGGCAAGGTTCTTGTCTGTCATTCTGAAATACTCTGGAACAGCAGAAGTGTCCGTCCTACTGAAGTTTTATTTCCTCTGTTTTCACATAGGCTGTTATTGGGTGATTTTAAATCAATTGCATATGCAAGGATATACTTGTGTCTGATACCCACAGCAATTTGGCCCATTTAACTGGAAAATGTTTCAGAGCAATGAAAAAAAAATCCTATTACTGTCTTTAGTGATAAATTTCTTTATTCGCCATCACTGTGTTGTTGATGTGTACAAGATTCTGTGTCTAATACATATATCGTTTCTTACCTTTCTTCTTTCCCCAGGATAATGTGCTGGGACACACATCCGCACTACTCTGTAGCAATTCCCAAGTTATTTTCAGCTGATGTAGTATTTCTGCATGGCACAGATTGATACCAACACCACCGCACTGAGTGAATGGTGGTACCGACCTGAGAGTCTCAGGGCAGAGCTCGGGGGGCAGCTCCAGGAGCTCAGGGGGGGCTCCAGTGTTCACCTTCTCAGCAGGGTTGAGGACAACTGCACTGTACAAATGAACTCCACGTAAAGAGCCCTGTTTGCGTTGAATTATGTGTTGCTCTAATTATTCTGTTATATAATTGGAAATTATTTTGCATTGCTGTTGTTGAAAACAGGTAAAAATTATGAGTAGAGTTTTCTGGGTTGATCAGAGTATTTTTTTGCTAAAAATGAGGCAGCAAATGACTTCCGTTGGCAGAGAGCATATCAAAGTTTAAGGAAGCTTCTGGCAGTGTGGAGTCACTGAAAAGGGTATTTGGTGCATCATCGCCTGGCTCCAGGAAGCCTGAAGCAGAATGCAACCATTTCAGGAAGTTTACTTCTTCGCTGCGATTCATGTTTAACTCATGTTCCTCTTGTCTTTTTGTTGGGCAGTGTTGGGCAGCCGTTCCAAGGGGCTTACTTGGAAATCAGCAAGAATCCCAAGTACAAAAAACTTAAAGATGCTGTGGATGAAAAGATCATTATTGCAGAAGTTGTGAATAAGATCAATAGAGCTAATGGGAAGGTAATAAAATGGCATTGCTTTATCCAGAAGGGTAGATAATTTTTGTTATAAATAAACTGAGAGGGAGACTTTGTCATGTAATAGTCTGAGGATTTTTAACAATGCCTTTTTTAAGGGCAAGACTAGAAATGCTGGATTTATGTAAACTGGTGATTTCAAGCACCTGTTTAAAATTTACAGGATGATTACTAAAATCTTGTTTGGGTTTGTATTTTTCAGCAACTTTTCTAAACAAAAATGGCACCTTATCAACTGGTAACAGGCTGTATTGATTGACAACTACATGTAGTCTCTGTACCAAACTTAGATCTTCCATTTGCCAATTGAAGAAAATAAATATTTTGGCAATATTGTTGTTGTTCAAGTATTTAGAAAACTTAACCTTTCAAGGTTCACACTGTCATTCAAGCTCCTGATTATCACATTTTACTATGTTTTCAAATTGTGAGTGGTATACTTGGCTAGCTTTGCCTGTCTTCTGGTTGATATCAAAAGCTTTTTGGAATGAAGAGGCAAGTTTCTTGTATCATTTGAATAAAGCTGTTAAATATGCTGGGTACTTTTTTATTCTGCCAGCACATAACTTGGTTTGCATTTAAATTATACTTATTAAAACAGGAAGTATTAGCCTCCCTTAGTAAATGTAATTGTTTTCACCAAATCTGTCTAAATATTAGAAGCAGTAGATCTCAGCTTCTCAGATGTAGATGTCATTTATGCATTTGTAGGAGTGAAATTAAGTTCCCTGTTGTTGATGCCAAGTTAATTTTCCGGTTTAGAAGAAACTAATTAAATGAAGACAATATGTTTCCTGTACTTGCATAGGCTAGAAATCTCAAGATTTAAAAAAAATAATAATGAGGTATGGTTCTGTGTGCTTAAGACAGCTACTTAACTATTGAGATTTTATTAGTTAAAAATTTACAGGAGAAAAAAGCCATACGTAGATTAAGTTCTCATTTATTTTTCATCTTAGTTTCTAAGATTAATTTAAGAACACACATTCATGCTTTAAAAATAATTGTCATTTGAAAATATGAATGTGTATCCTCCTAAAGAATAATCCCAATAGATAAAGGGAGGAGAATATAACATTGAAAAGACCTACATGATTTGTGTTGTTCTGCAACACAGTTTTGGTGAATAACAGTAGTGAGGCTTGGTCCTGAATTAGCTATCACTGGAAAAGTACGTTGGTTTTCCTGGGGATTGACAGAGCATGAGAAATGAGGTTATCCTGATTTGCATAGTTTCCGAGTTTCAGTTTCTGAATTGTATAGCTGTAAGCTAGTAATTAAAGGAACTGTTTCTATCTAAGCATATGTGCCAAAATGAGCTAAGCTGCTCAATCTATAATTAGACACATAAATAAATTTGACCTGATTTTAACTGATTTTGCAGCTTTTACTGAACATCAAATGTTCCCGTTTACTAATGTGGGCCAAGCTTATTAACTCTATGAACTGCTTGTAGTCTTGGTAGGTGCACAGTAAAGACCAGCTCTCTCTTTGTGTAGATGATGGTTTGCATTTTTGTATTTTTACAGGCTACATCCAGGATTTTCTTACTAACCAAAAATAATGTTCTTCTTGCGGATCAAAAATCTGGAAATATCAAGTCAGAGGTTCCACTCGGAGATGTTACCAAAGTGTCCATGAGCTCCCAAAATGATGGCTTCTTTGCAGTGCACCTCAAGGAGGTTGGTTACAACTTTATAGTATGATAATATGACTCTTTTACATGCAGTAATATAAAAATTGTTATAAATTATCTTGTAGCATTAAATTGTAGTGATTAGCCTGTAGGTTTAGAAGTTCATTGAACTTTGCCGTATCTGCAAAAACCTTGATTTAAAACTACTGAAGCCAAGTGAGAACAGTTATGAACTTTATGAATGATCATTCACTTTCGAAAATCAGACTTCATGTTTCACCGTAGCGTCTTCAGAATTGGAGTTTTCCATTCGTAATTTGGGCCTTCAATCTGGTTTGGATACCTTTTGGCAATGTTTTCCTCTTTAGCTGCTCATATAGTTCCTCCTGACACACTGGCAGAATATTTCTCTCTTCTTTATGGGATGCTAAGAAATCCACATGATGGCACAGCTAATTTGGTTACTCAGTTCCAAAGAACTTAGTTCAGTGCTATATTTGCTTCACTGCACCGTCAGCATTGCTCTGCTAAAATCATTAAGCTGGCATTTGTATTCTAGCTTAAATGGATTTGAAGAATGTCACATATATTGTCTTTTCATACTGATCACCTTCATCCTAATACTCGTGTTAGTAATTGGTTTCTGTTCCTTGCTGAAAATATTGTGAGTTTGCTGCGGTGTAGCCAGAAAAGGGATATGGAAACACAACAGTTTTGCAGGATAAATGAAGGTGACCCTCCCTTAGGGTCAGAAGGGGTTTTTAACTTTCTCAACAGGTTTGTAGTTCATTTGAGAGTGAATTGCATTTTGATACTGAACACTGCACTGCAACTCTGTTTAATTTAGAAGACAAAAGACTGTTGATTCATTGCACAGGGAAGGGAAGACTCCTTGTAAAACCTCCTGCTTGGCTGGCATTTCATATTCTTCATATTCTAGGTTATGGTAGTCTTAACTACTTTCCTTTCTGTTTCAGGGTTCAGGAGCAGCTGGTAAAGGAGATTTCCTACTCAGCAGCGATCACCTTATTGAAATGGCCACTAAACTTTACCGCACTACTCTCAGCCAAACCAAACACAAGCTCAACATTGAGATATCCGATGAGTATGTTTCTTGTTTGCTTAGAAGTGCATTTCCTTCAATGCAACCTGCTTAAAAGTCAAGTATCTAATGTTAGAAAAGCAAAGCACTGTTGCATAACTGGTACTTCTTTTCTCTTGACAGAATGCTTGTAAATAAGGATGCAATTTTCAGTGTGTTCTCATTTCTAGTATTCATTTTGGCTCTTATCTCCTTGAAAGTCATTAGAGAAAATGTGTATTTCTTAAGGTAGTTTCAAATAGGGCTCTGAAACAGAATTGCTGCTGTAGAAATAATTAAGAGATACTGCATTTGAGAGAATCGTTCTGTGTGCGACTAAAAAGTTCACATGCTCCTAAGAGATGTTTATCAATTCAGTGGACACCCAAAGCCAAGTTCCAGTGAAAACAACCCAAACAGAGTGAAAAGCTCCTCCCCAAGCATGTGTAATGATGGTGCTAGTAACGTAGGTCCACCTTCTTGTTTGTGAAGGTGAAGAATACATTGTTACATAGAATAATACGACATCTGCTGTTTTCCTTTGTTCTGTTACCAGATGTGATTCAGTTTGCTCAAGGGTGTGTGTTTTCAGCCTCTCAAAGAGCGTGGCTGTCCCCAGTAAGGTTCTAGTTTAATGATGGCTACAAAGGAATAAACTAGAACAAAGTTTAAGCATGCATTGCACTAGTCTGGACTGCCTGCCTGCCTTAGGTCTGGAAAACAGTCTGCTTTCTGGGAGTCTTATACTTTGGGATGTGGTTTTGTTTCTTGTCTTGCAGATTAAAAACATTCAAGTGTGCATTGCTGTTGAGTTTATCCAGACTAAATAATTTTAAGTTGTTTGCTTCCTTTTAGCAGTTCCATCTCTGTTGATGGTGAAGCAGTACTCTCTTCTCCCTGTTAGAGTTTAGGTATAAGCACAACCAGGAACTGAGGAGAAAATGTGGCCTTACTTTGACTACTGTACACTATTTTTTGGGAAGAGAGCTTACATAAGTAAAAATGCTGTTGATCCAGAGGTATGTCTAGTAGGAGACCCACCGTTTATAATATTTGAACAATGGGTCTAGGAAAGCACAGCACTGGTGACAAGAGATGATGGCTATAAGACCTCCTCATGTTTTCCAGCTGCTTGCATGGCTGGGAGCGCTGAACAAGTTAATCTTGGAGCGCCTGGGCTGTTCGGCAGGAAAGTGGGACCGAAGGGCAGCTCCGCACAGCAGAGGCCACTTCCTCCCCTGAGCTCTGCCGTCAGCTTGATTTGTGGTTTCCGGCTGGAGAATAAATTCTTTGAAGTTTTTGGCCTCCGCTGGAGGACTTTTTAAGGATGCGAAAAGGGAAAATCTGCTGTATTACAAAGGACTTTTTAGGTCAGCAACCACTGCATGGGAGCCAAAAAAGCAGCATTGCCCTCTTTATTGCTTTTCATCTTTCTGTCCAGATCAGTGAGAAGTTTGAGTCCCCACAGAAGCCTGCTGGGTTTTTAAAGCAATTCTCCACATTCAGTGAAATTTCTCTTCCAGTTGAAAAGTGGAGAGTCAAATCCAGATTCATTTATCCTGGACTGTAGGAAATATCTAGATTGCTGGGAAGGAAGTGAACGTTCCCCATTGCCGAGCAGGGGGCTGTAAAGGCCAGCTATGGATTAGAAATATGGGAGCTGCTAAAATACCAGATATACTAAATTAAGCGTAAACCAGAAGAAGAGCACTACCGATGTTGCTATAGAAGTTTTTAGCTTCCTTCCATGAAAACAGAAAAGTCCCTTTGGGTGACAGTGAAGCAGCCAGGAAATAGTCTGCTACATTTCTGGTACATCAGAAATTCTGTTTTAAACTGCCTTCTTTATAAAGGAATAGCAAACTAACTGTTGTAAAAAGGTCCAGAGTTACAGGCAATAATTAAGAGATACTACCTGAAGCTGATTCAAGCCATACCATAACCTATGGCTTTTTTTTATTCTCCAACTCTTGTTATTAATGGAGACCTGAAACTGACATATTTTGGAGTGATGCTCAGAATCAACAGGAAAAGACTTCTGCTCCTCCTGTGTTTTTTTTCCACCTTTAACTAAAATGTATCTTATTCCCATTCCCCTAGGTTTCTGGTCCAGTTCAGACAAGACAAAGTGTGTGTGAAGTTCATACAAGGCAGCCAGAAAAACGGCAACATCCCAACTTGCAAGCGAAAAAACAATCGGCTTCTTGAAGTGGCTGTCCCCTAACTGCAGCGGGTGACTCTCCCTTTCACGGACTTGTTTCTTTGTAATAGTGCAATTTTAGCTGTTTGGTATTGCTGGTTTTATCCCTTTCTGGAGCTGTTGATGGCTAATAGCTTTAGAAAACCATGGCAAAACATTTGATCAATCAACTTTTTAATCTTTTTTTTGTTCATGCCAGAGTTTAACCCTCAAAATACAGATTTTTACCCAGTGAGGCATTTTTACCAGCTGGCACATATCTGTCATACACGACTCATTCTCTGCGTTTAGCGGTCATATTTTAGTGCAGCATAGAGTAAACCCACATATTAATGGTAAATTACTCATATTCCTTAGTCTAGAGATCCATTTAACAGGAACAATACATGGCCTTGATGTTTGATGGCCACTTCTGCCCAGTGTCTTTTTAACACCGACCTGTTGTGGTGTTCTGACGGACTGCTTGCTCGCCGCCACTGGGGAGAGCAGCAGAACGGAGACTGACACACTAACGCCTGCAGTTAACACTAGGACCTATGTGACTTGATCTTTTAGTCAATACAGCACACAAACATCTAATTCTGCAAAACAGAAGGAATATATGATTATACAAGCAGCTATATGCATAATTTTATAGTAAAAAAATGCAGAAATTTTGAAACAGGATTTTTAATTAGGTCAGTTGTTTTTAATGACTTTATACAGTAGAAATCGGTAAAATTTTAAAAAGCTTGTTTCTTTCAAAAAAGCTATACTGTTCGTGGCATATTTTCTGCTCTGCTTTTTTTCTTTTAAATTATCAGTTAAGATTAGAGCCTGAAAAATGCAATAGTATTCATAACACAAGTAAATGCTAGGTATTTAAACAGTCAGTTATCAAGTGAAAGGTTTGAGCCTTTCTTTTAGATATTGGCATGTACAATGTGCAATAAAACATACATGACATTTTGTGAAAAATTATTTATAATACATTTTTGTGTGCAAGAGAGGATTGGTGCAGACTGCATAGACAATGTAGGAATTCAAATAGATTTGTGTTGTTAATTTGCAGCTTTTTAGAGTGTACACTACAGTTGGCAATTTGGGAAGAATACTTAGAATTAAAAAAAAATTCCTTAATTTGAGGGTCTGTATATAAATTGGTATTACAGTAACAAAACTGTTCTAATTCTGTGCTGTTTGGTATTCCTATGTTATAACCATATTTTTGTACTCCAAACTATTTTATATAACTCATGTGCCTGATGTAAATGCATGCACAGAAATTACAATCAAGAGCTGCATTATAAACTTTAAGTGTAACAGGTTGCACTTAATCTTTCATAAACCCAAACTGTTAGCTGGAATCTGTAAGAGGAGAGATGTGTTTTTAGCTAGAAGTAACTATTCAAGTGAAGGGTTTGTTGGATGTGACTCTTTGATTTGTTGATACAAGGACGGTTGAGAAAGCATTGTACTTTTGCCATCTGATAATAGGGCAGATTAAGACCTTGGGTATCTGGTGTGCAGTGCTGGAAGTCCAAGCATAAATAAAGGAAAGATAAAGAAAAGTTCAGAGTCTTGTTACTCTCCCGGTGATAAAGTGATGTAGCACTCATGGCTGTGAAGCTCCTCTGGGTAGTTCAATGTTGGCTCTTTGCGTTAAAACGACATTTACTGCAATATGCGTTCTACAGTTAACGGTGATCTCTTATCTGTATGAAAAAAAACACAAACAGCTGGTTTGGGTTATACCACGTTTTGCTTTGGGATTAAAATTTTGCTGTGATTTGGGTGCAAAACAATTGTTTTAACTGGTTGCTTAATGTTGCTGCTAAAAGCCCATGCACGTGACCTTGAAAGGTGGAGTAATCAAAAGATGGATTTTCCAAACTATGACCAAGAGTTGCCTCTTCCTTATGATCTTAGTTTGAACCATCTTTTAATAATGGAGTCAGGTTAATAGTTTAGTAAAATTTAAATCATTTGACATGTATTGTAATTAGAGATGCTTACGAAGGAAATCGTAGTATCAATTTATAATGCAAAATTAGAATACTTCAGAGTAATAATTCCATTGCCTTAAGAAGACAGCACATAATAACATGGTATTGAAAACTCCTAAATCCTGTATTAGAATTGCTGTATTAAAATCTTGGTAAAGATCGGAGGGTTTGTAATACTGTTCAGTATCTTAAAAACCTTACAGTAAGAACCACAAGGGGGGAAATTTTTTAAATGAATACGAAAGTAAGGAAAAGAAACATTTGAAGTCTGATGTAATCCTGTAGTTGCTTGCAGGTAGGAAATGTGAGAGTTTAGATTAAGTGCATCTGGATATTGGGCCCACGAAATTAAGGTATTACAGGACAATATTAGGATATTTGACCCATCCCAGGCAGACCCAGTGTACATCTCTCTTATTTTTTTCATCTTTGCAGCAAGTCACAATAGCCGTACTAGCATAAGCCTGGATGAGGGGCAAGCAAATTCCTCACTTTGATTTCTGTTGTTTCACTTCTTTTTCTGGACCTTTACAATTTTTACCTTGCATATTAGCTGGTAGTTTGTGATAGTTACCATTTGACATATATTTCTTAATGTACAGAGCAAGTTTTGCTGAACGTGAATTATTTAGATGTGCTAGGAGAGTCATGGTATCTTGATGTTTAGGTTTAAGTATCCAGCTTGTTGAAAACACAAATGCAAGGTCAGCTAGGCTTTGTTTCTTTTCCTCTGTTTTCTTTTATAACCTTCTATCAAATTGAGTTGTAAAGAGAAGACTATTCTTCCTATGGTGCTAACCCTATATCTACTTTTGTAAATTTTAATTTGTCATCTGAAAGCTGGGCAAGGATCATTAAAAAATGAGATTTGTTGCATGACACTTTCCAGAATCAAATAAAATTCTGTTTCTAGACCTATACTTCCTCTATATCTGTATCTTCCTTACTGACATCAAATGTAAAAAGTGCAGGTTTTTAGGTTAAATACACGCAACACTGGTGTGTGACTTGGAGACACCAGAAGGTTGTGGGTTTTTTTGTAAGTGATTCCTTAAGAGGCAGCATGTCTTTCTCGGTGATTCACAGTAACTTTTTCCAGTGCAATTCTTCACTGCAAGTCCTTTGCTGAATACTGTTTTCTCTGAAAAGTCTGCATACTCAACTTCCCTAATGTTAGCATTTGGATGGATTCCCTAAGAACAGTATTAATAGCCAGATTAACTTGATTTTCAAAAAAAGGCTTTGAGCCCCAAACCCATCATATTTCATGTGTTTTGTCTTGTGATCTTTTTCTTTCTTTTATTCCTTAACAATTTTTTCCTGATTTAAGTAATTTTTTTTTTGTTCATCAGACAAATTATGGAAGAAAGAAATTAAAATGTAAAATCATAAAAAAGCAGCTTCCATGTTCATCCAGGTTTGTTTTCACTGCCAAAATGAGAACATTTTTCTAGAGAGTTCTGGGAAAAAGTTGAATTAATTCAAGATTTTAATATGAAATGAGATCATTTTCCCCATTCAGCATCACTTTCACTGTTAATTCTTAAGGTTTTAGATCCTTAAGCTTGAAAAAAAAAATTTTTCTATATTCTGTAGGAAATGGTTGTGGTTATTTTAGATGATTGTACTGTAGTGTGGTGATGATGAGCAGGAGGGAGATGCACATGTCTGTGTTCTTTTGGACGTTACAACTTCGCAACAAACATATGCTTCCAAGACAGAACTGGAAGTGGTTTACAGAAGGAGCTTGTCCATTTTCCAATTTTGCCTGCAGGGAAAAGAAGGTCCAGAGAGGCAGGGTGAATCAGTGTGGTAGGAGCTTGGGAGAGCTGGAGTTGATGGGATGATCCTATGGGCCTTCAATGGAAAAGAGTCACAAAGAAGCAAAAAAAAAAAAAGTGCATACAAGACACAAAAAGGCAATAAGAAAGGAAAAAAAACCCAGTGAGACTCTATCATCATCAGCAAGTCTTCCAACTGCTGTAGAGATGCAAAAACAGCTGCCTGAAGTAGGTCCTGCACCCCTCAGAAGCCAATGGAGGCCTAAGGCAGCCTGGAACCACAGGGTGATCTAGAACTTTCAAGCTATCTAGGTTGTGATCTAGAACCCAATCTAGAACGTGCTCTAGAACTTTCAAAGGTGTTAGAACCTGCTCTAGAGCCTGATATAGAACCACAAAGCAATCTAGAACATAGTCTAGAACCACCTCCCCTGCCAATACCCCTGACTCCACAATTCAGACCTGCACCAACTGCACCAACACCACCCCAGCTCTGCCAACAACTGACTGCCAAGGACTAACTGCCTGGCCAAGGCCCTGATCAGGGAAGGCTTTGGCATCTCTCCAACAACTCAGTTACTGGAAAAAGGCAATCGCCAATCGTCCTGGGCCTTGCCTAGAAGAAGAAAAGGACGCACCAAAGCCTGTTTACTCCCCTCACTAACCAAGGACAAACTTCTGCTTCACAAGCTCAGTGCCCACAGCTCCAAGGCCCCAACAAACAGACTTCAGACAAACTTCAGCCAACACAGACTGCTCTGCACCACCACCCACCCCATTGCTTCAAAGCCTTCATGCTACCCTCCCCCCTCTTAGCTTAAAACCAGACACCCCTCTCTGCTTCCCATGCTCATTAAGGCCCAGCGCTTCCCACGGTCCTTGCACAAACTTAGGCACAGACCTGAGAACTTTTCGCTATCAAAGGGGAATAAACAAAGAGAAGGCGTGTGTCCAGCACCTCCGGACTCCCAACAGGCTGACACACTCCTCAAGGACACACTCATCCCAGGATCCAAAGGCTGGGGAAAAAATCCTCTCTGACTCTCCGAAGAGGATAGCAGGATAGCACTGAGAGCAGTACTCGCTCATTCAGCAGCACCAAATCTCTCCGTTCTTCTGCACTTTTGACATGGAGTATATGGAGGACAGAGGGTTGTGGTGAATTTACAGTTGCTGTTAATTCTTGTAATGCATAAATTTGGGCAGATTTGGTTTGGCCAGTCTCAAAAAAATAAATGTAATGTAAAGAGGAAAAGAAGTGCTCCTACAAATTTGTTGTTTCTAAGGAAACACATCACTGTTTCATGCCTGGCTGTATGTGTCTACAGTAAATTAGGACTATTTAAGAACTGGGGCTGTGAGAGGAATATCAAACTTAATCCCAGCTGGTTATCAGCTAGAACTGGTTCTCCTCCTGTTGCCTTGTGCACACGGATGAGTTGGGTATTCAGGCTTTAACTTAAAATGAGAGTTAGGGCAGTCTGAGGGCATTGCAGTTAACTTTGATTATGATCAGTTGATGAAATTGTGTCCTAAAAGATTTTTAGAAACAGATTTGCTCTCTCCTTCATCCTTAACTTTTAAGATATTGACATCTGACTGTGAACAGACTAGGCAAAATTTTGAAGCAGGAAGCACAAAAGGCTTTGTACGTGAATGGAAAGAAAATTTGAAGAATCTGAATATCTCTTCTTTATAACTCAACTGATTTCCAAGGCTGCATCCTGCATGACCCAAGGTAAGAATCTCTTTGCTGTATAACATTCCACTGTTTATGTTCTTTAATTATTCAAGAAAAGA